GACAACCACACACACTAAACACCAAAAACACAAAAAGCGAGAATCGGAGTTAAAGCATCAACGAAGTCGCGTATTATAAGACGCGCGCGAACAAGTTTGGAGAGATTCTCTGTTCTCTTTTGTTTTGTGCTAACACTGCCGTGTTCTTTTCAACAACAAACAAACCAAAAAGAAGGCAAAGCTGTTTTTGGGAGCTGCAAATTGAGGTTCTGCGTTACAGTTTTTGGATCTAGCAATCGTTTCAGAGGCGCAGAGAGAGAGGGAAAAAGTGTGTGCAGTACAGTTGAAACCAATAGTCTGTCTGTCTGTCTGTCTGTCTTCTTAATAACACAGCTCCTTTGCGATCATAATTATTGTATATAATTAGGCGAATTAAGAGATAAAAAGGGGAGCTTGGCCTTTGAATTTTTTTTCTTTTTCCTTTTTCTGTGTTTGTTGCTGCTGCTGCTGCTGCTGACTAAAGGGTTTAATGATGGCGAATTGGGGAGGGTCATTTTCAGCTCAAGGAGGTAAGCGGGGGTGAATTGACCGCCGATTTGATTTTCTCCAGCTTTCCTTGAAAATTTTGAAAAGAAAATAATAATAATTCTTTTTTCTTGTTTTGAGTGATAGTTGGTGGTGGTAGAGGAGGAGATGATCTGTATACAGAGCTGTGGAAAGTAATAGCAGGCCCACTGGTTGAGGTCCCGCGAGCTGGAGAACGAGTCTTCTATTTTCCACAAGGACATATGGAACAAGTAAGGGAATGTTTGTGTTTAAATTCCAAATTTCTGTTTTTAGATGTTGTAAATGATTCCATTTTATTTATGGAAATGATGATTCTTGTTGTTTGTTTCGAATTATTGTGGGGGATTGGATTCAATTCAATTCAATTCAATTCAAATATGGGTATTCTGGTTGGGATGTTATTGTAGTTGGAGGCGTCCACGAATCAGGAGCTGAATCAAAGGATTCCTCTGTTCAATCTTCCACCCAAGATTCTTTGCCGCGTTCTTAACATTCAGTTGCTGGTATTTCTCTTTTTATGTTATGTTTTTGTTTCTCAGCAAGTAAAGCACAATCTGATCCTATGTTCTTTATTATTATTATTATTATTATTATTATTATTTCTTTTAAGGCATTAGGTTATGTAGATGAATGAAATGGCGTTTTTGTCTGCCTACACTTTAACTGACTCAAGATATCTGTTTTATCCATCTCCTGAATAAATTGGTTCATCAAAATCATTGATTTTGAGGGTAATGTCTCTATTGATTCATTGTTTTTGTAGGCTGAACAAGAAACTGATGAGGTTTATGCACAAATAGCTTTGCTTCCTGAACCAAATGTAAGCTCCACCTTTTTCTTCTTTGTTGAGTTATTGGAATGGAAAATGTTGGATTTTATTTGGTGTGGGCATAGTCAACTGAAATTTACTTTATGGTACTGCAGCAAACTGAGCCAACAACGCCAGATGCATGCCCTCCTGAGCCTCCAAGACCTAAGGTTCACTCATTCTGCAAGGTTTTAACTGCTTCCGATACAAGCACCCATGGGGGTTTTTCAGTTCTCCGAAAGCATGCCACTGACTGCCTTCCTCCACTGGTACTATCTTTTAGATTGTGTCATGTGTTTAGCTCCTTTATTATTGTTGTTGTTGTTGTTGTTGTTGTTGTTGTTGACATGATAAGCCACTTTATTCAATTTCACATGTGGATCTTCTTCAGGACATGAACCACGCAACCCCATCGCAGGAATTGGTTGCCAAGGATCTTCACAGCTATGAATGGCGCTTCAAGCATATTTTTAGAGGTTTCTCTTGCTCTTTCTAACATCAATTGTTCTTCTTATGTTTTTGAGGAAATGAGATATTCTTTATCCTTTTTACTTTGGGTGGCTGTCTAGTTCATATTGGAATCAGACATGACTGGTCCAGAAACCTATTAAAGCAGAATTTTAATTTGTAGAGGGTTAAATGAACAGGTCAACCACGGAGGCACTTGCTTACAACTGGATGGAGTACTTTTGTCACTTCAAAGAGACTAGTTGCTGGTGATTCTTTTGTATTCTTGAGGTAAATGTTTTCAGTTCTAGTGTAGCATGTGGAGCGCACCCATACTTTGATAGCTTGAGCTTTAATTTGTTAACACAATTGGACATGCAGAGGGGAAAATGGGGAGTTGCGTGTTGGAGTGAGACGTGTTGCTTGCCAACAGAGCTGTATGCCATCATCAGTGATTTCAAGTCACAGCATGCACTTGGGGGTACTTGCAACAGCATCTCATGCTGTTTCAACGCAAACCCTCTTTGTTGTCTATTATAAACCAAGGTATAACTTATACAGCTTCAGCAAGTAGTATGAGGAGAACATGTGTTTCTTTTCTTATATTTGTCTTGTGTAAATTATCAGGACGAGCCAGTTCATCATCAGTGTGAATAAATATCTGGAGGCTGTCAAAAATAAGGTTGCAGTAGGCATGAGGTTCAAGATGAAGTTTGAGGGGGAGGATTCTCCTGAAAGAAGGTAATTGAAATAATGTTGTAGTTGTGCCAATGTGGTGGTTGTTTGAGTTGTCAACATGATGCTTATTTAACAAACTTGGTTGGTCAGGTTTTCAGGCACTGTTATTGGGGTGGATGACTTTTCTCCTCACTGGAAGGATTCAAAATGGCGATCATTAAAAGTAATTTTCTTGCATGCTTTCTTCAACTTCATTCTTAATTGTTGTGGTAGTATTGATATTGTTGATTTTTTTTGTGCCTAGGTTCAATGGGATGAACCTGCATCTATCCCAAGACCTGACAGGGTTTCACCATGGGATATAGAACCCTCTGTGGCTCCCACAACCACAAATCTGGCACCAACAGATGCAGTGAAAAACAAAAAGCCTCGATTATCCACTGAAATTCCTGCCCTAGGTAATAGAAGGTTTTCCTGGTTCATTGCTTCTCTGGTTCAGATTTAATTCATTATATCTGACTCTTTTAACCATAGATTTAGTTTCAACTGCTTCTGCTCCTTGGAATTCTGGAGTGACTCATTCTCGTGATCTAACACGACTGAGTGTTACTGCTGAGGGTGTAAGAAATGACAATCTTGCTTGGCATCACATGCAAACTGAGATTAGCAGCAGTTGTGATGCTGTTTCTAGGACTCAGATCAGTGATGGGGGCTGGCTAGGCTCTCCCCACTTGAATGTTTCGCAGCATCTATTTCAAGATACAATAGAGGATAGCAAGGGTGTATCTGCCTGGCCTGTTAATTCAGGTTATTCAGCTCCACACTCTTCAAAGCTGAAGAGTGATCTGATGCTTGATCCTGCTGAAAAGGGCAGGAAAACTGAGATGGCCACTAGTTGCAGATTGTTCGGTATTGATCTCATAAATTCTGCTGCAAGGGCAACTCCTTCGGAGCAAGCACCTGCAGAAGCAGTTGCTGTATCTGGTGGAACAACTGAAGGACATGGCCTGACTATCCAATCAATTTGTGATTCAGACCTGAAATCCGATGTTTCAAATGATTCGAAGGGACAATCACAGCTAGCAGTGAAAGAAACGAACAGACAAGGTTCTAATTCCACCCGGAGCCGCACTAAGGTATCGGAAGTAAAATGTTTGTTCAGATGACATTTATTCATTTGTTTATTACAAATTATGATGTGCTTCTGTATCTGATATGTGATAAAAATTTATTGCAAAAACAGGTTCAGATGCAAGGAGTAGCTGTTGGTCGGGCTGTGGATTTAACCATGATTGATGGGTACAGTAAGCTTATTGATGAACTGGAGAAGATGTTTGATATTAAAGGTCAGCTTCGTCCTCGGGATAAGTGGGAAGTAGTCTACACTGATGATGAAGGGGATATGATGCTTGTTGGCGATGACCCATGGCCGTAAGTAGTTCCTAAATACTAGCCATCAAAGCACACAATGCTTTGTGATCAAATATGTCACGTATAGTTCTTTTTGTTTTGTCCTCTAATGTTGATTTAATTTTCGTTCAGGGAATTCTGCAACATGGTAAGAAGAATATTGATCTGTTCAAGCCAGGACGTAAGAAAGTTGAGCCTAGGAACCAAACTTCCCATATCATCCATGGAAGGCGAAGGGATTGTTATAAGCTCAGATTCAGCTGAAAACTGAAATTGGATTTTTCCATTTTGGTTCTTGTTCTCCTTTATAGGTTGTTTGTTCATGTTTTTTAAGTTATTTTGTTTGGAATGGAAAGGAACTAGATAGGAAGGCGTTTTGTTTTGGTTTTGTGGTGTGTAGGATAGTTGGTAAGGGGTAGCTTGGTTTTAGGAGCTACCTGCCAAAGGTGACCTGGCAAGGTAGGTGGACTTGGAAGACCTGATTAATTAGAGTCAGATACTGTAGCACCAGAAGATGCGAATATTGAGGGGATCTTGGGTTCGTTGGGCTTTTATTGTCCTTGTAAAGGTACAATGGCGCTTTCGCAGTGTAGTCAATGGTCTTTGGTGGGTGAGATTGGAAATGCATATTATTGCTGGGCCTGGTTGGGTTGAGTCACGTCTCGTCTCCGTTTTGTTGTCTTAAAACTCGAATATTGGAGAGATCCTGGATGGGCAAATTTAATACTATGAATCTCTTAAATCATTGCATTGACAATTTCCCTTTTAACTGTAGCGGGTAATGTTTTCCGATTCGGTGCTCTAATTATTGGATGAGTGAGACTACACTTATATTATGGTGTCCTTTATTGAATACCTTTGTCATTCCATAGTTAATGTTTTATTATTTAAACTATAAAACACCTTTTTTTAACTTTATATATAGAGAAAAATATTTTACTTTTTTTTTATGTGTTTTAATGAAATAATTATGATTTATTATAATATAATTAATTATTTTTATTTAAATTTTTTTAATAATATTATATATATGAATTTATTTAATATATAATTATGAATTTATAATTATTCATGGCATTTTAAACTTAACATTGCCGCTTTTCCAGTACTTGTACGATTGATGTGATTTATGATTACTGATAGTTGAAATGTAATTTTTGAGGGAAGTGTTTCATCAAGTGGAGGGAGAGATGGTTAGCACCTTCAGTGGTGGCTGCTGCAATGGTAAAATGAATCTTAGATTATAACTATTACCATAGTTTAAATCTTTATGAGGTAATTTTTTTTTTAATTTCGTAATGTTCAAAAAAAAAGAAAAAAGCACTTGCGGCCTTATCTGTGATGGCAGTGCATCTACGCCATCAATTTTTTATCAAAAGTTCAAGCTATCAATACAATAATATTATTTTTTTTTTTCCCTTAATTTTTCACTGATCAAAAAAACAAAAAAAAAGGTGGAGAGATGTTTAATAATTGGTGAGTTGGTGTCCATGGACAAAGTCCATTAAGTGTTGGGGTC